ATATATATATATATATATATATATATATATATATATATGTATATATATACTTTAAAGTGTTAAAATGTGAAACAGGTAACTAAATAACACATTTTATTGTTCTTTTTAATGATCTTTTCCCGAAAACAAGTTTTGTTCCTGTTAGTGGTCTGGTATTAATGCCTTCATTATTTGCATGATAAATCATATCTTTTACAATCACAAGATAAGACAAACAACAGATATTTACAGCATGGTAATTTTCAAGCCGTTCAAACTTATGAGCACCTCTTGTGTCTGTTTTTTATACTTAAGACCCAATAGAGAAAGTAGGTTTCAATTGAATCAAATTCTCAGACTTGTTTGTGGTTGTATAATGATTTGTATTTTTGAGAACTATACAAAGTAAACTTTATTAAATAATATGTTACATGTATACATGTGTAATTTACATTTATATACATCATTCACAAACTATATAAAAAATATCCTGTGTACTTATTCAACAAAAAAAAATCTCAAAGATTTTTCCTTGAAAATATCCAAAGAAGTTTTTTTTAAGATCAAAAATAGCCTTTAGAAAATCTTTTATTTTAAATTCTGGGTAATAGCTGTTTTTCTTCATATACGTAGTATATATCATTGATGTGTACTAAACCACATAGTTCCTGCATTTAGATCGAGTATAATTTTATTCTTTTAGATGCACAACAAAACTGCCTATTAGAATTTAAAAGTAAATAATTTAACCATTTATTTTCCTTCATCTAATAAAATATTTTTTATTAACTGCTGAAATTTTATTTGTGAAAAATGATTATTATTGTACAACCCCATTTAATGTTTGTTATGTGTGTGTTATTTTTCCCTAAGGACTTGACTCTAGCATAATAGGCAGTCACTATTTAAGTAGCAATTTAATCTATTACAAAGACTTTTTTTGTCTACCTCTTTGCTAATACTGCACAGTTTCAGAGTTTTCTTTTTTTAAATTTTGTCAAACATCATCACACTAAATATAATTTAAAATGGCACTTGTGCAATCTATATATATACACATACATATCATTAAAAGGAGTACAATACTAAAATAATTACACAATAAATAATTTATTAAAAGAGGAATCAGCCCTAAAATGACTTGACATGTTTCAGTGTTCTTATGCTACCATCTTCTTGTTTTAATGAATTATTTATTATGCAATTATTTTAGTGTTGTACTCCTTTCAACTGTATATATGTATCATCACACTGTTGTTCCTGATTGTATCGTTTTTTCTTTCTTTTTTTTGTTCTCACTTTATGCATTTTAAGACATAAAATTTTTTATATTGCATATGGTTGACAGATTTACTTATAATAATAGTAAATTTTTTTTTGGCTTTATTGGTAAAACTTATTATTGAATTTAGTCTTGTACTTTAGATATGACTGTTGAAGAGATATTTGTGTTTATTCACTAGATGATCAAACTGTAGTTCTACAGTTTTTTTGGTTCCCATGTTTCTAAACTAGACTTATTATTCCTTTAAGTATTCTATGGTTCTTCTGAACAGTTGACATACTTGGTAATCTGTGCATTGTAACTTATAAAACGTGTGTTTTTTTTGTTTTGTTTTTTGAGTTAGCTAACATAACTTAATACCTTGCAATATTGTGCTGTTATTTTCTTTAGAAAGAAAAGTTTGTGGAACCTTGTAAAAAGTTTTGCCATGATTCACTACACATTATTATTGCCTGGTCATATTAGTTAAGAGTGTTATGTTATTTTCCTTGATAATTATAGTATTATGTTCTGTGGTACTTAAATAACTTTAGAATGCTGTCTAGTTGTGTGATTGCTAATTAAGTATAAATTTTTGATTAACTTTACAAATTCTAGCTAACTCTATGTTTAGGTTATATTATATAATTTTTTTTCCCATTCTGTGGCTCCTTGATAACTATAAAATGATGTTTCATTATGTGATTTATAAATGCTTGTTGTTCAATAAGTTTGTTAAAATCCTGATTGTAATGTTATTGTGTGAATTGTTTGATGATTAGAAAATGTACTGTATTTTGTCATAGTTATGATCCCAGAAAATATATTTTATGATTATTCGTCCCCTAGCTAAAAAATAAAATATTGTATTACAGCTGCAATGCCAGGAAGTTTTTCTCAGGTTGGACTTCATCAGAATCAAAGCCCTGCTGGAAAACAAGTAGAAGGTAAGTATAGATAATCAATAAGAAATAACAGTAATACCAGTGGTGTGTTGGAAAACAGCACTTATGCTCTGTATACCTAAATATTTTGTTTTAACAAAAAAAGTATTGAAAGTGATTATTTGTACTTAAACATGAATTAGTTGTTCAAACTATAGTACTTGTACATCACCCTGTGTACATACAATTTGCTAACCTTGGCATAGTGGCTCATAGTTCAGTCAACTCTTCACTGATTTGTGATCTAATTACAGTTTTGGACTCAAGAGGTCAAACCCTTTCAATTAATGTATTTGACCATGTCCAAAGTCTCATAGATTAATTTAATTGTGCCTAAAGTAATTTCAAGTGCTGTGGTATTGAGGATTCCTTTGTTTAGGATATAAAAAAGTAAGTTTAATGTAATTTTTTTCATTGTTATTCAAGTAAATATATTGCAACTCATGCCACTGTAAATTGCATCTACATTAGCATACACAATTTGTATAGAATGCAAATAACTCTCTGTAGTGTGATCTGTGTTTTCACACATTGGATAATGAATATCATACCAGTGATTGGAGGAAAACTGTAGTTTCAAGGTATATAAAATCTAATCAAAAACATCTTAGGCGTGGCCTAAAAAGTATTGAGAGTGTGACTTAAAGGAATGAAATCAAAATTGGCAGCCAAACTGGTAGCTACACTTACAGCATTGATAAGAATTTTATAGGAAATACTCAAACTTGAAAAAAAAATCGATAAAAGTTAAATATGTTTTTCTATCAAATAAAGTTTCCATACTTTTGGTGCAAAGAAAAAAAAGAAATTCAATCAAAATTGGTTATTATATATCTCATGTATTTCTTAATGGATGCCTTGAAATTTGATATCTGAAGTAAGGGTCCAGTAGAGCACATCCACTGAAAATATGTTATAGTTTTGATTACCACAGTCCAAGCTACAAAAAGTGGAAAATTGCTAAACTGTCACTCCTGTTAATAACACACAGTGTGTCTTGCATGTTGTTTTGGCTACAAGACACACTACCATGTGTCTTGGTGTCCCAAGAGAAAGTTTTGAATTCAAATCCCAGTTGTGTGAGGATTATTTATAATGTTTTATAATTATTAACTCATGTTTAGAGCAAGATATTACAATATTAAGAAAAAACCAGAATAACATGATAGTTTACATTAGGGATTTGAATAATTAGATAACAATCGATTACAATAATGTAGAAGTTTCGCTTTCAAATCATGATAGAGCTGGGATTTTAGGTTATTTTTTATCATTACATTCATTTTTTAATATGTTTATGATCATTTATACAACAAGCTCTTTGAATAATCAGAAAAATACGAATATATTTATGAATTAAGTCTGGGATAATATCATATTGCATAATAAACACCAGTGACTCTGTGTGTCAAAAACAAGTTATGTATATTTTCACCAAATAGATGGCGCTACAATACATTATTGATGTTTTCTACATTTGGTTAGAGATGCTTAAAAATTTGGAGAAAAATTTTTTAAGAATTTTTTATGAACAGTAATACCTTCGTTTCTTTGTCATCACAATTAATAAATCACTTGGCCAGTTTTTCTTTTTTGACATGGTTCAATTTATAAGGCTTATCAAGAAGCAGATCTGAACATAAAAATATACGTAAGAAAAAATTATAATCAAAAACCACTTATAGGAGATGACCAAATATACATAAAAAATGTTTTCATGAAATACTAAAAAAAAAGATAAATAATAAAAAATGGATTAAAGAGTGTTTATACAGATATTGTTATTATAATATAACCAATTTTTAGAAAACATGTTCATAAAACATTTATTTAGATTTAATTTTCTTTCAGAAGAAAAATTAATAAGCATTTACTACCATATGACAGGCATTCAGCTTGTTTATAATAATTGTATGTGGAACTGATGAACATGCTTGAAACAGAAAATTATTATGTTTATAATTATTCATTTATTTTCATTACAGGACCAGAAGGTGCTAACTTGTTCATTTACCATCTTCCCCAGGAATTTACGGACAATGACCTCGCCCAAATCTTTCTTCCCTTTGGAAATGTGATTTCTGTTAAGGTTTTTATTGACAAGCAGACAAACCTTAGCAAATGTTTTGGTATGATCAAATTGGCTATTTTTTTAATGAACTACTGTGTTCCTATACATTAATATTTGGCTACCTTAAAGATAGAGGTTGCATTGTTAAGTGATATTAATATTATTCAATATTTGATGTGTTAATATGGAGACTTAATTTTTTTTATCAGAGTTAATAATTCATTAGGTTATAAAGTGTATTTTTTTATTTTTCGAATGAGCAAAATACATGTGCTTTAGCATTCATAAATGATATCCAGCTTAGTTTAGCTTGTTGCTAGTTGAATATTATCTATTCAAGAAATTACTAATAGTAGGCATGTTCTTCTGAAAGAATAGGAAAAACTAGTTATCATTACACATAGCTCTTGGATTGTTTTATTTTCCCCAATAATATTGGTAATGAACATTTTCAGGATTATTTTATATTTTTAACAGAAGTCACTAGCTCATGCTTGTTGCATATAATTTACTTATTTAGACAGAAGCCACTAGTTCATTTTCTATGCCATGGATAAATAGTTTTTATACGGGTTATTACTGGACATAATTTTTATATATATATCATCAGTTGCAGAGTATCATGTATGTGTACTTAAAAGCATCCAGAAATTTAACAAACTATTTGAAAATGAGTTTTATCATTACTTTTTATTTTGTGGTAAAAAAAAAAGACAATTAAAAGTTTTGTTGACAATTTTTCTGGTGAATTCCAAGCTATTATGCCAGAGCAGTAAAGTATGCTTCATCAGATACATGTTAAAATTGAATAGATTTTAGTTACAAAATGTGAACAGGAAGGTGAATTAATGATTGGTTTATAAATAGTTCTGGATCATTTGAATCTTGTATGTGTTGAAGAAAATCCTTTCACTGTGCTTTTACAATAGGAAGTTCATAAGTTAAAATTTTAAAAGATAATTTTACAAAGACATTAAGGTTTTTGCACATTCTTTTACATGCAAGTATACAGTAGTCGACTTGATACCTTTTGTTCCATTATAATTAATTTTTGTTTTCACTTTCAGCAGGATTACAAGCTGGATAAAAAATCTCCTGGTTTTATCCTGAGAGATAAAATTGAAGATAAATAATTATATTTCAGAGTTCTAATTTTTGTATGGTTTTGTCAAAATGGAGAGAATAACTAGTGATATAGATACCACTTACTTTTATTGTTGTTTTCTAGATGAGACTACAGTTTGGAAAAATTGCCAAAGAATTTTCTAATTAGGTCAGATTAATTCCTTGTTTGATAGTTTTTCTTAACGAAACATTATTCTCCATAGACTGCTTGGCAGTTTATGAAAGTATTTATTGTGAGTGCTTGGCTATAAATGTGGTCCAGAAATCATTTTATGTATAAATTCTTGAAAGAAATTATGAATATTTATTTGGGTTTAAATGACAGGCCTATGGTTAATTTTCATTCTTTGTTTTTGACATGATAACAATTCAAAACTTTGAATTCCTTAACCCAGATTACCAAAGTTGCTATTTTGTTATAATTTATACAGACAGTTTACCATTATAACTAGTCTTTTTTTTTTTAATATTCAGGCTTTGTCAGCTATGATAGTCCTATGAGTGCACAGACTGCCATCCAGGCCATGAATGGGTATCAGATTGGCACAAAGAGACTTAAAGTACAGTTGAAGCGATCAAAAGAATCCAACAAACCATAATTAAATGTATCCATTCAGCACACTATCTATCTTCTAAAGGGTATGTATTTTGTCTCTGGTTTTGTCATCGAAGTCAAAAGGAAGAACTAACAGGATATATGTCATCAGACTTCTTTGTTTTGTTTTAATAATTCATTAAAGATGCTTCTTTTTATCTAAAATTGTCTCTTTGTGCTTCTTGAAGCCATCAGATACTTCATAGAAACAGTACATAAGACACTTATCATAGAACAAGAATCTAAAATATGCACTTGAGAGTGTTGAGAATTAGTTCTTGAACAAAAATAATTCACACGCCTTAAAAATTTTCCTTAAAGTGATTGTAGTCAGTGCAGTAATACTTTATAAAAAAATTGTTTCCAAAAACATACAAAAAATATCACATTCTTAGTTACTGTATATACATATATTTAAATATCAAATATTTAGAAATTGATTTAGCTACAAGTGACAGAGCTACACGAGAAATATATTAAGTTGTGTTTAATGCTTGTAAAATTGTATTTTTAAGCTCAGTTTACATTAAATTTTAAGACTTCAAAGTGCTTATTTTATCATAGAAATTAGGGCAAATCTGGGATTTTGGATCTAGAACTTCCCATAATCAAAATTTTAAAGATTATTAACCACTAAACATTGTCAGACAAAATAAATATACTACACAGGTTTACTTGATTTGTTTGTACCAAAAAATGACCGGAATCTTTAGAGCACAGGCGTCTTATCTTCCAGATGTTTAACTTGCTGTTAATTAGCAGGGGCATGGGACATGCATCATACCTCAGATTAAATATAACAGGCTTTATTTAAACTTAACATTTTGAAATATCTACTATATAATCCACACGTACTCATTAATAAATACAGTGGTTGGAGCTTTGTCAAATTGGCCCATACTGTCTAAAAGTGGCATCTCTGCAAGAGAACAGTACCAGCTAAATACTAAGTTAGTATATAAGAAAATGAAATTTCATCTGACCTTAGGGGTCTCGTCTCTATACTAAAAACAATAGGAGGAATACAATAAGATAAAGTTTAAGAAATACCTTTTTCTCCAAGGAATAATGTATTAACAGTGGAAGTATATTGTGTAAACTTGGTTATCACAACTTGTAGTAGGTAATTATTTCAAGGTCTACTGTTTGTTAAAATTCCAAATGTTTTTGTACAAATAATTTTTGAGGGAAATCTCCTTCTATTGGCCACAGTGCACATTGTGTGCATGTGACTTTTCTTCAAACCTAGTTGATGGTTGAAAAAAAAAAAGTTTATTTTAAAATTCTAAAATTAAATGATGCGTGTGTCATTTAAAATATATGTAATTGTCAATATATATAATTATTTGATAATTCATCAGTGAAAATCTGGTCCTTTCAAGCCAATGAATAAATAGTATGATAACTTAGTCATGAGTGAATTGTTGCAACAAGTCATTGTGTTAATTAAAAAGTAAAAATTACACAGATTTTCATAT